GCAAATATCCTAAATTTGCTTGTAAAAGATAAGTGAACTATAGATATGTAATATAATTTTTTTTTTATTATCACACTGGCCGATTCCCACCAAGGCAGGGTGGCCCGAAAAAGAAAAACTTTCACCATCATTCACTCCATCACTGTCTTGCCAGAAGGGTGCTTTACACTACAGTTTTTAAACTGCAACATTAACACCCCTCCTTCAGAGTGCAGGCACTGTACTTCCCATCTCCAGGACTCAAGTCCGGCCTGCCGGTTTCCCTGAACCCCTTCATAAATGTTACTTTGCTCACACTCCAACAGCACGTCAAGTATTAAAAACCATTCGTCTCCATTCACTCCTATCAAACACGCTCACGCACGCCTGCTGGAAGTCCAAGCCCCTCGCACACAAAACCTCCTTTACCCCCTCCCTCCAACCTTTCCTGGGTCGACCCCTACCCCGCCTTCCTTCCACTACAGACTGATACACTCTTGAAGTCATTCTGTTTCGCTCCATTCTCTCTACATGTCCGTAGAGAGAATGGAGAATGGAGAATGTTAACCCTTTGGGGCCTAGTTCTTAGGCCTTTTGTGTATCCACATGCTCTTGCGCTACCGTCCACAGTATAGATATGGGGTGCACAATAAACTAGCCACTTCGGTGGCAAAATCTAATTTGCAACTATCATATGGAATAGGGTTGCACCACACTTATGAAGTATCTAATTTTTCCTTAATAAAAAAAAAATATCACAACCCAGTTTTAAATGCGATTGCCTCGTGTTTCCTGCTGACTGCTACGGGTTTGTACCACAGCCCATCCACTTTTTTTTTTTTTGCTCCTAATTGAGGAAAGGATTCTCAGGATTTGTTTTTCACGCGAATTTTTTTTTTTATCAAGTTTCGTGATTCACAGAATCCCTAAAGTGTTCCACAGCCTTGACTGAAAATATCTGGAAGACGACAAATGTCAATCCTTCATCCTCATAATTATGTCACACTTTCACACTGGGTTTGCGGCTCATTCCTAAGTTAGGTTGGGTTACAAAAAAAAAACGACCCCATAAATATAAGAAAAACGATAAAAATAGTCTGTCGCGCGAACGGAAAACGGGCAGCCACTGCTCATATATCTGTCATATTTCATCTATTCAAAGCTGTCAACAGCCACCCATTTGACTGTTTTTACAACAGTGCCATGTTGTCTGTGTCTAAATGGACGAGCTGCATGTGAAATACCAGTATTCAAGAAAGAAGACAGATAGAAAGGCCTAAACTACAGCCCTGTGCCCCTGATACGATGACTGTGCAAAGCAAGGGACATCAAAAAAAAAAAAAGGAAATATAGTGAGATGAACTAGATCATAAATACAGCAGACGCTGACGATATACAGGGACTCAAAACAAAATATATGACAGTGCAAATTCAAGCCATTCAATCGGAAGTTAAAAGGCAGGACCAAGAGTCAGAGTTTAGCTCCCGTAAACGCAAATGGATTACTAATTACACGTGAATATAATATTTAGCCATAGTTAACGTAACGTAATTTCAAGATCCGATCATAGAAAACGAAGGACAGTCGCTATGAGAAAAAGGCGAGTTCGTAAAAAGAGCAACTACAGTACCCTGTTGATATATCAAATGCATTTTAAATCAGGAAATAGCGTGTATTTGTGCCTTTTGTTTCCATGTACATTTATTAAAAGTTGGAACACAATATGTACACTTTTACCATGTGTGAATCTATTGTTATTAGTTGACATATGTTCTTTAATAATGTACAGAGACCTGTTGAACACCCCTGTCAAAGCCTATACACAGGCAGCAATTTCTTATTTTTAAAAGAACTATTTTTTGTTATATAGCTGAATTTACAGATTAACAGCTGTTAACCATATCAAAGATATACTATCCTATTCATCTTCCTCCCCTCCTCCACCCAGTATGAGGCCTGCAGCAGTTTGCTAGTACTCAGGTACCTCTTTTCTGCTAGGTGAAACAGAGACAACAGGTGTAAGAATGTTTAATATATCTCCATCGGCCAAGGACTGAACCTGGATCCATCGGTTGATCCTAGTCACATAATGACCCGCTAAATGGAGTTTTTGGTCACAAGATTCATTTGCTATGTAGAACGGATTTAGTTAATAGTAGTAGTAGTAGTAGTAGTAGTAGTAGTAGTCGTAGTAATAGTCGTAGTAATAGTCGTAGTAGTAGTAGTAGTAGTAGTAGAAGCAGTAGTGGAAGCAGTAGTAGTAGTGGAAGCAGTAGTAGTAGTGGAAGCAGTAGTAGTAGCAGTAGTAGCAATAGGTAGTAGCAATACTAGTAGTAGTAATAGTAGTAGTAGTAGTAACAGTAGTAGTAATAGTAGTAATAGTAGTAGTAGTAATGGGAGGAGGAGGAGGAGGAAGTGTAGTCGTAGTAGTAATAGTAGTAGTAGTAATAGGAGGAGGAGGAGGAGGAAGTGTAGTCGTAGTAGTAATATATGTATTATTATTGGTCATACAGCATTTTGATGAGAAACTTGCTCATTTTTCTTTCACATTATTTTGCTAATACCTTTCATACTCTGCTCAGGAGTGTGTGTTCATTTACCACACAAACTTTTCCCCATCCTTTTGTCTATGTTCAGTCATTCTTGGAAAAATCCTAGGCGTTTATAATTAATCCCTATTAGTCTAGCTATCGATTTAAGTTTTATCAATTTGAAGCCATCGTCATACTGCCGTTGCTTGATATGCCGACCTTTCCATATTTTCTTATTATTTGACTCATTAGTTTTATATATATCGCAGATATATTTACGAGATTATTATTACCTTTTTTTTATATATTTTTAGTTTCATAAGCGTTATACCAGTTATAAATACTGTCCAAGACTTTATGTTCCTGTCCTTCATTTATTTTTACTCTCCTTTTGTTCAGGCACAGTGGCTGTGGTTGTGTTTAGTAGTTACTGTATGTGAATGGTTGGACATTAGGTTATCAGCAGTGTCAGATTTATTCCCTGGGTATGACAAGTTAAAGGACGTACACCAGTAGAGGTTATATAGCGCCAGGGAAACGGGTGGCAGGCAGAATTGATGCTGGGAAGGCTAGGGTAGTTACAGTTCTTTAGATCAAAGAGCCATTCACCAACATCAAGGCATCTTTCAGCTTTCTTGAAGGGAGTTCCTCCACAGATGATCGTTAGTTGATTCTTAATGATTTGGACATTATCAAAAGCATATCATATACACATAAGCTGGAATTACTGACAAGGGAACTCAAGTCACTTACATGGGTTCCTTCTCACATAGGCCTCCAGGTATATACATGATGATAAAATGGGAAATATATTTTTATGTCTAACAGAATAAAAAAAAAACCTTATCGAAGAAGAACCTCCAAATGAGTTAGATAACAGAAGGGTTCAGATCGGAACTACAAGATACACTGGTCATCATAATGTGTCAGTAAAACATGTTTATGGAGAAAGTAATGTATCATTAGCAGTTCAGTTTGTATAGAGAACTCAATTGTATAAAATAATGTACATAAAGTGTGTGGAGAAAGATAAACGCACACACTAGAACAATATATTACAGGAAGTGCAAGATTCCTTCATTGTCATTTACAAGATATGTGAAATGCTGAGACTGTACTCACACTGCATCAAAAACATAAATTAAATAATGTACAGTGTTGGTGTAATCTATGATTACACCAACACTACCCTGAAGTGGAAGGTACTCGAGGGCCTGGTCCCAAATCTGCACATTGCCATAACAACATACTGGAGCGAGAGATATGGGAAAAAGTGCAAGATAAACCCAGTGAAGAGCAGGGGTGCAGTGGGCACAATAAGGGAAGACTGTATCAACATTCGTGGCCCCAGATTATTCAACATCTTACCAGAAGATATCAGAAACACTGCTGGAACAAGTGTAGACGTCTTCAAGAGAAAACTGGACAAGTATTTTCACCAGGTGCCAGATCAACCAGGCTGTGATGGATATGTGGGGCGGCGGGGCTCCAGCAGCAGCAGCCTGATTGACCTGGCTAGCGCCAGACGAGCCTGGCTCATGGCCGGGCTCCGGGAGTAGAAACTCTCGAATCTCATCAAAGGTAAGTTGAGACTGTATTTACATTTTGAATGAACTAAATTAATTAAATTACTATGTGTGATCAGGCTGCAGTGTAATAAAGTAATAAATAATTTACAGCCACATTATAAGATATGACCTACGTGCGACTGGCAACAATAGCCTGGTCGATCAGGCCAACAACCGGGAGGCTTGGTCTGGGACCGGGTAACGGGGGTGGTGACTACCAAATTCGACTTCAGGTTTTCATGTATGGATGAACATAGGATACACAATAAACTAGCCATTCTGGCGGCAAGACTTCATTAAGGAAGCAGTTCATTTTTTTTCTTGTTTGGTAAGAATGAGTCAGGTCCAGAGACTGGTTACATGGACGACAAAGACACACGAGACGACATAACCATTGTAAAATCTTGTGTAACGACACTACTTTTCTCATCTAGCAGATTAAAAAAACATAATACACAGGGATCATCCCTTCATTTATCTTTACAGCGGCGAAGTGGGAAATTTCCAGACGGTGGAGATCAAGGCCTATAACTACAAATACCTAGAAAAACTTCCTTTACATCATATCCGAGAGACACTGTTGATATCTATGTTGTTTAAACTAAACACTAAAATCCCAAACCTCTCAGAATGTCGTGTAATTACTCTATTTGCAAAACAAAATCATTATAGCGATAAAAAAAATAAGAGCTGAAACTCAAAATATAAAAAAAATGTATAATTAAGACTAATTTTAAAGAGGTAATCGGTAACATATTATATTTTTAACAATAGGAGGTATTACCGAGTTAGGAGATTATTATTATTATAATCAAAAAGAAGCGCTAAGCCACAAGGGCTATACAGCCCGAGTTAGGAGAGGCAAGTGAGGAAACATATAAGAACAATAAGAGGGAGGGTAGAGGGCGCTGGAATACTTACCATGTTTTGACGGAGCTTCTGTAGAAGTTTATCCATGGTGTCTGTGTGGGTGTATTCTGCTCTCCTTGACGCACTGTATTCGATGTAACCCTCTAAATTGTTATATTACTACTTAACATTACTAATGATTCATTTTACACCAAAAAAGATGTGCACAGCGTACATATTTTTTTTTGTTTGTGTTGGTAACACTTTAAAGTCTCAACAATAACAAATGCATTAAAGGCACAGTGGCAACAATACTACAATGATCAATAGCTAACAATGTCACCTCTTTTCTCCAGCTTGAGCACAAATATTCCACTGGTGAGGGTCAGTAGTAGGTGCCGGCAGCTTAACATGGCTTGGTGACAGAGGCTGGCATGGTGACATAGCCTCTAGCACAGCACACATTTGATACTCGGCTCTCTTCATCATGACACATTTGCCTCACGAGCTAAGGAAAACAAAGTCACAATAATGCCCTTGAGGAATCAGAGGCACGGGAGCTGCCCCCTCCAGCTGGCGAACCCATACATGGCAGCAGGCAAGCGCGGACTTGAAGCAGTAGCGTGCCACTGCACAATTGTTAGCGGTCCTGCTGAAGACTGTCAGCTAATGGAAATGCCGAGAAACCGTTCTCACAACCACGACACCACGCCCACACCACTATCACGACGCCCACCTTGCCCCCAGACCCGTGACTGCCAGCATTGTAGCACCACTCGAGGGGTCAGACGAAGAGTCCAAGCACATGGCTACGTTTCACTTCCCTGACTGCTCGTCCTCCCACTACTGGTGGTGAAGGTCGCCCTGCGCACTCACAATCAATCATACCTTTTTATCTTCCTCGCCTCTTTTCATTCTCGCATGTCCAAGCGTAAATTTTATAAGACATTTATGTCCTGACAGAGGAGAAAGAAGAAGAAGCAGAGGAAGGAATAGATGGTGGAGATATAGTGAGATGTGGACACTCCCTCAGCCCGGCGGAATCAATAGGTTACAGGGAAGGCGCTACACAGGGAGCGGGGGTGGGGTAACCGAGAAGTTCCAGTACACTCATGCACATCTTATTCCACACCTACACAAAGTACACTAAGTACAAAGTACACATATACACACAGGAGGTCAGGAGCGGTGAATCGACCCCTGCAATCACATATAGGTGAGTCCACATACGTACGCAGAGAGGAACTGTGAATCGACCCCTGCAACTACATACAAGTGAGTACACACAGAGGCCCATCTTGGAGTAAGCAGCACCAGTATGGAACCCACACCTATAAAAGCTGGAGAAAGTGCAGCAGTATGCAGCAAGGACTGTTCTTGAATTAAGGGGCAGCAAGGACTGTTCTTGAATTAAGGGGCATGATCTACAAGAAGCTAACGAAATTAGACCTAACAATACTGGAGGACATAATAACATACAAAATACTCAGGAGAATTGATATGGCAGACAAGGATAGGCTGTCTTAGGGGCAAGAAGCGGGACTCGGAGACACCGTTTTAAATTAAAGACATATGAGCCACAGGGATGTTAAGCTTTTTTTTCTGTGTCAGAGAAGTCGAGTTGAATGATCTTGGTGAAGTAAAGGAGGCAGGCTCCATACATAGTTTTAAGAATATGTACAATATGGCCCACGAGGCTAAATTGGAGCGAATCTCTGTATCACATAACCTCAGATCCCTCTACCTCAATTATCCGAGAAAAGTATCCCCGTCTCCCATAAGCGCAGCCCCCTCTACCTCAGTGCATCCAGCATGAATAGTGCAGGGCAGTCATGAAATTATAATGCAACAAAATAAAAAAAAATGCATGTATCTACTTACTGCTAAGTGAACAGAGAAGTAGGAGTAAGCAAACATACTCAACATTTCACCTGTGCCGGGGATCGATCCGGGACCCCTTGGTATGTAAAGTGAGGACGTTACCAACCAAGCCACGGACATACACTTAAACTGAGGTAGGTATGTACTGAGAGGGATATTTATAGAATATTAAATATTTCGCAGCTAGTATCATTAAATTAGTATTACGTCTATTCACAATGTATGCATACTTATGTCCTAATATCAGAAACCAAAAGTAGCGAAATTATTTAAAAAATAACCCAAATGTTTCAATTAACTCAAAATGTGGAAACGCACTCTTCCTGTCCAAATACTTTGTCATAGAAAGCAGATTAACGAGGCAGAATTTACCATCTCTAAAACTGTGCTGGCTGCTGTTTATTAATCTGCTCAGTATCAGTTATTACTATTATTACTACTACTACTACTACTACTACTACTACTACTACTACCACTAACAGACTCGGCAGGAGATGCAACATTCCCCCGAGATGAGAGACAACACAATAAGTGTCCGGGGCCCAAGACTGTTCAATTGCCTCCCAGCATACATAAGGGGGATTACTAACAGACCACTGGCTGTCTTCAAGAAGGCACTGGACAAGCACCTAAAGTCAGTACCTGACCAATTGGGCTGTGGTTCGTACGTCAGTTTGAGTGCGGCCAGCAGTAACAGCCTGGTTGATCAGACCCTGATCCACCATGAGGCCTGGTCTCAGACCGGGCCGCGGGGGCGTTGAGCCCCGAAACCCTCTTCAGGTACTACTACAATCAGAACTAAGTGCTAAACCCACAAGAGTCATGCTGCGCTGCACTCAGTATCAGCGGAAGATCAATAAAAGTAGCTCAGTCCAGTAGCTGTAACCAGTGCCAGAGAGGCCCTAGGCCTAGGTTAGTCCACTTGTGAGGCCCCTCACAATCCCCCAGACTCACCACTACAGGAAGATAGAAGAGTGTTTTAAACAAAATTCAGTGAAGCCGAGGATGATAACGGGTGTCTGAAATTCCACAATTCACAATTCCTCCTCTGAAGGACATAAAATGTTATTGTTAAATACCACAGTAATTAAAAAAAGCCTAAATGTTAAAATTAACACTGAAAAACCTTTACAATAACCAAACTTTGTAAACATTTTGTGGAATAAGCAAGAATTTTTAGGAGAATGAAATTGCAAGCTTACTGTTATATTCTTTAAAATGCATATATTCTTTTAAAATCTATTTTAAGAAATAAAGAAAATACAATCATCAAATACACTAACATTAAAAGTTTTTTTTTAGTCTTCCTCAATAGAAAAAATCATCCAAAAGTTCATCAAAATTTGTTTGTCTAAGTTTGTCACTCTCATTGCACAGAATGTTTAGTGCGGACAACCACTATTGAGACACTGTGGCTCTTAATTCATTTGAGGATTGAAAAAGAGCTCCTTCCTGAGCAGTTAGTGACCATTAAGCTAAGAAATAGTCGTAATATTGCTTCCACATTAGGGAAGGCCATCTGTTTTTTTCCTTGTTTATAATTTGATACAGGTCTGTATGAGACAGTGACTGCTCTTCTGTAGGCTTGTCTCACGTACAAATGAAAGTGCAAAAGTTCATCAGTAAGTTTCAGGTCAACATCTTCTGGGTATGATTCCATCAACAGATCAACACCTTACTGAATTTCTTGCTTAGATGTCGTCAGATTAGTAAGAAAGAAAAACATTTGTGCAACGTCACTGTACACAGTAGCTCTTCTTAAACTGGCTTCAAGTGCATCTGGTATAAGAATAAAGAATTTTATCCTAAACTTATCTCTTGGAGAGAGTTCATCTAAGGCATCAGGACCAGGCGCACTTCCGTCATTTACTTGCCGTTTCCTTACTGTAGCAACATTAGAAAGGAGGGTTTTGATTGTTGCTCAAGCTCATCAAAAGTCTTCTCTAATTTTGCTTAAAAAATCCTGAAGCGAACTGCACAAACATGCATAAGTACTCAATAACAGTTCTGGTTTCTGAATGGCTTTACTGACCTTGTGAAAATAACCTAGCACACGGGTCCGAAATACAGCATAAACACAAATTCCAGTTCTTCCATTTTCTGCAAAGGACTGTTAACCTGAAACCTGATATCGCCCTTTTCATTAATATCGAAGTACAAATGACTGAGGACCTCAGTGATAGCACTAAGTGGCTTTTGCATGTTCCTCCAGCGTAGCGTGTGATAAATATTTATGCACTTTTGACTGAGGTTGCAAAAATTATTTTAGAACTGTTCATATCATTGAGGAGGATGAAAAGAAGGTGTAAATTTCTTTGACAATGCTAAAATAGTCCTCTGCATCCAGGCAGCAATCAACAGTCGAAAGGCCTACCAAATTTAAAGTGACCAGTGCATGGAATAAATCTTGTAATTTTTTTTTCGATGATTTTTGCTGCACACCGTTGTACCTACCAGCCATGTTGGCAGCATTGTCCTAAGACTGTCCTCGGCATTTTCTAAAGTCAGTTTCAAGCTCATTGGTGAGATAGTTAAACACTAAATCAGCCATAGTTTCTCCTGAGTGGTCTTTAAGCTCAAAAATAGTATACACCTTGGGAGGAGGCCCCCTAGATTTTGATGCCCTTGGCTTCATCTTGCTAAGCCTATAGGAAAATCAGGCACTGCAGTTGTATCCCAGTCTGGCAGCACTGGATCAGTGGGGACTGGCGAGGCGGTCACTGCGCTCCGTGGAGTGCTCTGCTGTCCACAAATGGAGGAGTTACGTAAATGGCTGGCTCTAGTGTTAATTTGGCGAGTGGAGGTAATAGTGTCGGTGTTAAGAGCCTTGAGTTAACACATGGGAGGGTAAGACATATGGAACATTAGAGATTTTTATTGACGAAAGTTTCACCTGCGCTACTGGCATTATTTGAATACTCTTGGAGAGATCAGCCTTGGTGGGAGAGGAAGGCAAAGTGGAGGGGTAGTTGGATGTAATCAATCCATTACCCTTGATGCAAGATAATGTCTCCTAACACCAAGGTTGGTAACTCAATTGCTAAGACATTTAGCTCATACACTAAGGCCCGGGGGTCGATCCTCGGTACGGGTGGAAGCATTAAGACGTGTTTCCTTAAGACACCTGCTTTCTATGTTCACCTGTCAGTAAAATAGGTACCTGGGTGTTAGTCGACTGGTGTGGATTGCATCCTGGGGACAAAACTGACCTGATTTGCACGAAATGTTCTGCAAAATAAGGGGCTTTCTATGCAGTAGTGTCATTGATGTCATGTACATATACTTTTAGAAATAAATATTATTATTATTATAAACTACCTCCCCTCAAGGAAGGTTCCTTGATGTTGGTGAGGGGCTCTTGATTTAGAAAATTGGATCTGTGCTCCAGTTCCCCGAATTAAGCCTGAATGCCTTCCACATCCCCCCCCCAGGCGCTGTATAATCCTCCGGGTTTAGCGCTTCCCCCTTGATTATAATAATAATAATATAAACTACCTCTATATTTCGCCTTCTTCGTCTCCCACCAAAGCTGAGCTTTCCAGGAGTAAATAATAATAATGCAGTCAGAAGTAAGCGCTAAACCCACAAGGGTCATACAGCGCAATTCATCCTTGAATTTGATGAAGCCTGCAGCGAAGGCGAAACCTTCCGTCAACAAAGATTCCTTATGTTGCACATGTCTTACCAACTTGTCAGTATTATACACCATTTATAATAGGGTTCGTTAACCTGGGGTATCCAAATAATGGGGGTCTGGGGCTCGATCTCTGAACAGTTTAAAAGGAAAAATGTTAGATTCGAATAAACTATCACCATTATCAATACGGATCGAAGTAGCGAGGCCGCTAACTGTGCTGGATATCAAGCAGTTTCGGTGTGAGCAGATCGCAGCTTACTCTAGCTGGGCGATGAGGGCAATGAAAGTTATGATTCCCTTC